CGTGACAATATTGCCAAGGACACGCTCAAGATATGATGTCATTTGGGTAATTGTTGACCAGCTCATCAAGTCTTCCTACTTTTTGGCCATTAAGATGACCGACCCCTTGGATAAGATAGCAAGAATGTATATCCGAGAGATAATCAGATTACATAGAGTGCCAGTGATAGTACTGTCCGATAGACACCTCAGATTCACTTCTCGATTCTGTTCTAGTTTTCAGCAAGCCATGAAAATAAAACTATCCCTTAGTATTGCATTTCACTCTCAAACCAATGGACAATTAGAAAGGACGATCCGAACATTGGAGGATATGCTCCGAGCTTGTATTTTTTACTTCGGGGACCATTGGGATGATCATTTACCCCTAATAGAGTTCGTCTACAATAACAGCTACTAAGCAAGTATTGGCATGATTTCGTACAAGGCGTTGTATAATCGTCCATGCAGATCGTTGATATGTTAGAAAGAAATAGATGATAGAAAATTATTCAATCCAGATCTTATAGAGGAGACTACAGCCAAAATATTTAATATTAGGAGGAACATTCAGACTGCTTAGAGCAGTCAAAAAAGTTATGCAGATACCCGTAGGAGGGATTTAGAATTTGAGAAAGGTAATCGGGTGTTCCTTAAGGTCACTCTTTTAAGGGAATCAGTAGGTTTGGCAAGAGGAAAAAATTAAATTCCCAGTCTATTGGGTTATTTGAAATCTTAGACAGAATTGGTACCGCTGCCTACAGACTGGCACTACCTCCAGAACTATGCAGGGTCCATAATGTGTTTAATGTTTCCATGTTACATAAGTACAATTTGCACCCCTCTCACTTCTTGGCCCATAAACCCCTTTTACTTCAGGAGGATCTGTCATACGAGGAGATACCGGGGGGTATTATGGACCGAAAGAGTAGATTACTTAACAACTGAAAAATTTCCTTCGTTAAGGTTTTATGGCAGAATCACACACAGGAAGAGACCACATGGGAGCTAAAAGCAGACTTCAGAGCTCAGTATCCCCAACTGTTTGATTGAGTGTGAGAGAGATAAATTTAAGATACCAAATTTCTTTTAAATGACCAAACTTCTTTTAAGGGGGTGAGAGTTGTAATACCCGGAATTAATTTTAAAATTTTAAAATTAATATATAAAATATAATTTTTTAATTTATGAATTTTTATTTAATTAAAAAATAAGAAAAATAGGTAGATGACGAAATTAAAAATAATTTTGGAAAAAATGAGTGAAAATTTGGGTTATAATGGTGTTTTTGAAAGAAAAATCAGAAACTGGGGGTAAAAACATAATTTTAAAAAAATATGTCATATAGGACTGCCCAGTCAGCAGGCCCAACGAACCGAAGCGTGCCGCTTGGCAAGGCACGCTAACACAATGTCACACTGAAGGCCAAGTTGGCGATCTGCGTGCCCGCGATCGGACGGTCCATATTTATTCCCACGTGTGTGGACAGTCCGAATCTGTTTCCTCCTCAAGCACGATCGAACGGTCGCGATTAAATGCGATGAACAATACAAATTTATTTCCTCCTTAAACGCGATCATACGGTACAAATCAAATCGTGATGAACGATCTAGATTTATTTTTTCATTAAACGCGATCGGGTGGTTAAGATCAAACGCGATGGACAGTCCAAATTAAAGGAAGACAAATATAAGTACCTCACTTTACACCAAACTCTAACCTTACCGCTAGCCCTCCCTTCCGCCGGAAAAGAAAAATCAGTCGCCGGGAAGGTAGCCGATCGCCAAAAAATATAAAAATTCTCTCAGTTGCTCAAAATTTAATTTTAAACACCTCCATGGCCAAATTGGAGCTAACGAATTGGTCAATGGGTCGGAAACTGCAGGTAAAGTCTGGCGGTACCGCCGCAGGAAAAACCAAAAATTGCTTATGATGAACCCCTTCCTGATTCCCATTTCATGCAATTTTTTCACCATTGTATTCACCGTTCTATTTTTTACAGGTTGATCGAAGAAAAATACTAAACCGTGAAGGTGAGCCAGTGGAGCCGCCACACCGAAAAATTTTGCCGCCAGTGAGTTTTTGTTTTTCAACTTTTTTGGGCCAATCGAGGCCCTTTAACGTGTTTTCTTGCAGGGATGAGTATAAACCCAGTCGAAATCTGTCAAAAACGGCCAAAAATGGCTAGCCGAGGCAAACCACCGCCGCAGACAGCGGTACCGTCGTTGGAGCACGACGATACCACCGTGCTAGAATTCTGAATTTGGCCAGAAGGGGTTTCTAACACCAATTTTGGGTTTTTTAGGGTATTTTTAGGTACTTGAAGCATGTTTTAATCTCCGAAGAAAAATTTAAAGAATCCGGAGACTGCTAGTAGGCACAACTTAAAGTTTAGCATTTTAGACACCGATTCGAGTAAGAATCTCTCACTTTATTCTCTGTTATGAAATTGAAGTCTAATTATCAATAATATGATATTTTGTGAAACTTAGAAAACTTTAATAATTAATTACAAGTTACTAATGGAGCCGGAACTGGTTATTTATTACTGTTTGTCACGTTTTAACTGATTGATTGATTTTACAGTTTTGAATACATGATAATACATTGGAATTGGTATGATGATTCGATGTGTTTCCTTGATGCATGTATTACTTGTTTTGCGTGATTTACAGTTAAATTATAAAACTGAAAAATTAAATGTAAACGAAAAATTGTTTGATTAACTGAATGAATGAACGGTAGTCTTATTGGATATCTTGGGAGATGGTGGACGGATAAAGTACATAGGGAATTCTACCTTAAACGTTGCCTCATACTAGACGGGGTATCGAGCATTGGTATTTTTTTGCTCATACCTGACGAGGTATGGGGACGGCCCATTTCACCATCATACCGGACGGGGTATAAGGATGACTCGTTTCACCCTCATACCGGACGGGGTATGGGGACGGTCGGGTAGTTGACAATATCGAATAATGGTTCACGCATAGTAAGGATATCCCTATGTACCTCCATGAATACCAGTAAGCAGATAAAAGAGATAATTGTTGTTTTGACAAATTGAATATGAGATTAGGATATTGGTTATATTATTACCTTTATGAGTCAGTTTTGAAAATCTCGCTACGGTAAGTATGCGGTAAATGATTTTAGTTATGATAAATGAATTTATTTAAATTAAAAGCTCTATTAGTTATTTTTATGATTTTAACCAATTTTCATTTCTGTGTCAGTGAGTAGTGTGATATTTTTACTGCATTAGTGTAACTTATTCTTTCATTAACCATTTCATATCAAGAGAACTAAGATTCAGATCCCGATCCACAAGAGGGTTACGAATAGGATACCCAGTTGTTTACTTTCTATTTATTTCTTTGATTTTTCGTTGTTATTTTAAATGGGTCATTCTCATAGCCCTATTGAGTACTTGAGATTATTGTGTAAGGAATGTAAATCCTAATTTATTATTTTACTTCCGCATTCAATTTATAATTTATTTTCTTTTAAGTTTTAGGCCATTACATATCATAACTTAAAGATTATGTACCATTATATTTAGGAAAAAAATTGATCATGAACTCGCTATATAGATATATATTGTGTTTACATATTGTTTAATGTTTATCTTAATTTTTTTTTTTAAATATGTATATATATATATTAACAATTAGATGTTGCGTTGAAACTAATAGTACAATAAAAATAATTACAATTTTCTAATGATAGCATACAAAATACACACGGAGAACCAATCCTACACCATAATGAAGAATAGAAATACAAATTTCTCCAAATTTACCATAATATATCTAATATCTTCATATTACCATAAATGTAATATAGTTACAAATTAGTCCACATTTAATATAACAAAAAAAGTATATGTATATATATATATATATGTCATGTGATAACACATGATTGATGTAACTACCTGCTTGAATTTAATTTTAATGGAACAATCAAGGTAATATGTTTTCAAATTTTAACCCAGAAATTTATAATTTATTAGTTGATCCAAAATATAACGTTTTAGAATCAAATCCTGTATTCAGCAAAATTGGGCTTGGGCTTAAAAAGCACCATACGTAATTTGGGCCTTTAGAAGTTATCAACTGATTACTATCTCCAACTCAGCAGATACCCATTAGGGAGATAAAGAATAAAATAAATTATTAATTTAGTCCTAATTTTTATATGTATTACAATTTAATTCTTAATATTTTTTTAATTATATTTTGGTTTTATTTTTTTATTTATTCTAAATGTTCAATTAGTTTAAATTTTAGAACTAAATTATAGTGAAAAAAAATTAAGAATCAAATTATAGTAAGTGTTGAATTTTAAAAACTAATTTAACTTATTCTGAAAAATTTATAATGATCTGAACTTATTTTTTTATAAAAAAAGACTGGTTTAAATATTAAATTATTTGACTATTTTAATTAAAATAATATATTAGAATTATAATTTTATTAGAACAAAACTTACTCATAAATTAAATTTTAAACTTGTTAAATAAAATATTATAGATAGATTATTGTAAATTCATAAATAATAATTTTATGTAAATAGTAAAATTCAAACTCAAAATTATCAAATGCTTTGCTAATATCTTAATAAATGCTAATAATGAAAAAATTATTAAGAAATTAAACTCTGTACTTATTAAAATTGGCTATTTTTAATCTAATAAGTTTAAAATACATTAATAAGTTAAATTTTTTCTAACTTATTAAATTAAACGGTATAAATAGGTTTGTCTCGGTCTATAAATAACAGATATTCACAGTGGTAAAGAAAACTCTCTCTCCCAAACGTATCAAGTGGTCTACGTTGTCTCCTGCCATGTGCGTTAAGGCAAATGTCCACTCAAAATAAGGCAAAATTCCAATCCAAAGCAGACCCAAACTCAACCAATTGCGGGACGCCACGTAGGCTACTTAATAAGTGATACCGACTTCCTATAAGCAGACGCCCTTCCTTTTGACGGTTATTCGAATTTTAGAGCTCACTCCCTCGGTATATGCTTCCAGTATCTCCGCTTCTTATCTCTCTCTCTCCCCCTCAAATACCCTTCCCTTCTCCTTCTCTTTCCTTCAATCAATTCCTCCATCTCTCTCTCTCTCTCTCTCTGCAATTCGCTTATTTATATGTTTATATTATAACTCCATAGCTCTGTATCTTTTCCTCTCTGTATCTTTTCCTTTCCATTTCCCTTCTTCTTCTTCTTCTTCTTATTCTTCTTCCTCTACTGGTTCTGTAATTCCATAGGATTCGCTTTCTATGGCTAACACAACTCTTCATCAAAACAAGCATTTCCTGTTCTCTCTCACATCCAAAACCTCTCCGTTCCAGTCTATCAACTCTCTCCATTTCCGACCGCCTTTAGTTTCTCTCTCATTCTTTCCTTCCTCTTTTTCTTCTTCATCTTCGTTATCATCGTCCTCTTCTTCGTCGTCGTCGTCGCAGCATGTTCCGAGAGTGTCCACGGTTTCTGTCGAGTACGCGCCACCGGCGCCGGAGTATGATTTCCAGGGAGAAATAGCTCGGCTCAAGGCTCTCCGCTCGGAACTCGTAGCTTCCAAGGGCTTGAATGATAAAAACTCCGTGATTGACGCGGACTCCCGAGTTCAGAGCTTCTTTAATGAGCATAAGAACGGTCTTATTAGGGCTTTGGCGTCGCTTAATTTGGAATTGAGGGAACTGTTTCTGGTTAAGTGTTTGGTTGCGGCGGGGCAGCAGCACGTGCTTGGTTTGGGCTATTACGATGAGGAACTTGTGGAGAGAAAGGAGGATATTTCGAGGAGCTCGGTTAAGAGTGCTCTTTATGCTTTGGTTGAGATGATCGAGAGGTTCGATATTAATTATGGTGGTGGTGAGAGCTTCGATGAGACAAGTGGCTTCGTTTTGCAGGAGAGGGAGGTTAGCGAGTTCAGGAAGCTATTGAAGATTCTGGGAGAGGTTGAGGAGTTTTATGATTGCATTGGAGGAATAATTGGGTCAGCTCTCTGCTATGCTTTTGCTTTATCACATTATATTTGCATTAATTGTTGTTATATGCTAAAAAATGCGCTTAGTTTCTGTTGCTTTCAATGTTTAGAACAGTGATATTCAGATTATTTGTTTCGATTTAGTTATAATTGCTGGCATGGAATAGCAACAGGTCAAGTGTATTAATGTTTATGTGAGGTCAATAGTATGCTGTTATTATTATGTTCTTATTATCCAAGCCATGTATATATAAAACATAGACTTCAGTCAATTGGAACTCTATGCCAAAGAACAGAAAACGCTTGTGGAGATTTTTATTTAACTGGATAACTAATTATTGTTTAGTGTGATAATGTTGTATCTAGATGTTGTGGGCAGTACTTTGTTTAGATATAATTCGCCAATAGACTTTGCATCTTTTCGAAGAAATCCTCTGCTGTGATGCTTTCTTGGGTTTAAATGAATCTACATTGAGTTCAATGAACGTGGAGGTCAGGGAATATTCAGTTAATATCCGGAAATGGGATGCTGTTTTGATTATTTTTGTTAAGGAGAAAGACATAGGGCGGATAGAAACATTTTCTGGTTAAGCATAATTATCTTGATGATTAGGTTGAAAATGGGTGTGTTAGGGACTGTACTCCATTTTTTCACCAAAATGTTGAAACCTCTTTTTGTTTGCATATTCCATGCAAGTGCAATGCTTCTGACATGGTAAAATCTCATTTGTGCTGATATTCTCCTTGAGCCGAAGGATGCTTATGGTTTGGATGATATTTTGTTGCCCCAGATACCAGATAATGGTGCTTGAGCTCCTTGCTCAATCTAGGTCTGAAAGGCAGACTGCAAGTTGGTCCCAGCACATAACTGAAGCAATGGATTGCCAGTTTTTAGAAATTCATTCCCCTAGCGTGGTTGATCTTTCTCAGGATACGGGGTATGCATCTCAAGCAGCACTTTGGGGAATTCAGGTTTGTAACCCACAGTTTGCTTATACAGAACAAGTGAAGGATCCTGCAGGTTTTTCTTGAATAATAAGATCTATTCATTTTAGGGTTTGCCAGACCTAGGAGAAATTTATCCCCTTGGAGGCTCTGCAGATAGGCTTGGTTTAGTTGATCCTGACACAGGTGAATGTCTACCTGCTGCCATGCTTCCTTATTGTGGACGGACTTTGTTGGAAGGTCTTATAAGAGATCTTCAGGTATAAGATCCCCGTTTATCAAAATTGGGAACGATATTATATGATTCAGTAATTTCCATGTTTGAGTAATGGTGTGTATATTTTAAATACTTTTGCAATTGCAAGGCTAGAGAATTTCTATACTTCAAGATGTATGGAAAACAATGTATCACTCCTGTCGCAATTATGACCAGTTCAGCAAAGAACAATCATGAATGCATCACTTCTCTTTGTGAAAAAATCAAATGGTTTGGAAGAGGTCGATCAAGTTTCCAACTATTTGAACAGGTTTGAACTGGAATTTTGTTTATAATGTCTTCTCTATCTACTATGTTACTTCTCTCTAAAGGAATTTCTTTGGTTTCATTTGTGAGTACTATCTCCCAGTTGATGATATGATTTGTGATGGCCAGCCTCTTGTTCCAGCTGTTAGTGCTAAAGATGGTCAATGGCTAGTTTCAGAGCCATTTGCAGCTGTATGCAAACCTGGTGGTCATGGGGTAATATGGAAACTTGCTTATGACAAAGGCATCTTCCAGTGGTTTTATGATCATGGAAGAAAAGGTGCTACAGTTCGACAAGTCGGGTTAGTTACTTCTGATTTATTGTTTATTTTATTTTGATTGCAGAATCTGGTTATGGGTCTCTAAGCTTAGCATTGATACTGTTGATAATGCAGCAATGTTGTGGCTGCAACGGACTTGACACTATTGGCATTGGCTGGGATTGGTCTACATCATGGAAAGGTAGGCTCATACTTGGAAGTTCTGCTTGTCTTGTCCCCTGTGTCACCAACAAAATGGTATGTAGGTATAGCTTTGTTCAAAAATAACTTTAAGCGTTATCCTTGTTGTAAAAAGGTAAGGATTTACAGATGATATTTGTTGATTCAGATCATGAAGTGAAAGTGAAATCTTAATTTTGATTTGGAACCTACTCAAATAGTGAGTTTTGGAATATACTTATCGAATTGAACATTGAAGTATTGTGTATAACTATGTTAAAACAAAAGCGAATGTTAAAAAAGAAATGTTTCAGTTAAAAAAGCAAGTACTATAAATCGGGTACCAAGGGTGGCCGGCCCATGTGCATAAGGCATTCATACAGCATTTGGAATATCAATGATGTTCCTAAGATCATCTTCCATCTAGGAGAGGATGGCCTTTTAAACAAAATAGATAAAAATTTTGAACCGTGATCTCTAATAATAAAGGCCATGCTTATGACTGTATCTGGCAAATGCTGAAACCTGTCTTGCATGCAAATATCTTGCATGTATCTTTGAAGATGTGCTCAAATAATAATGACTGATAATCTTCTCTTAAAGAAATAATATGACTCATGATCTATAAATCGATTGCCTAATCATGCAAAACTAAAGTTCATCTGCTCATGTTTATAACAGAAACTCGGTTTTGCATCATGCAAGCGAAATTTGGGGGCCACAGAAGGAATCAATGTTCTAATGGAGAAGAATAATCTTGATGGGAAGTGGGCATATGGTTTATCATGCATTGAATACACTGAATTTGATAAGTTTGGAATCACTGGTGGACCTCTTTCACATAATAGGTATGCAATGATATGTTATCCACTTCTATTTCCTCCATTCTGCTAATCAAATTTTTAGACCATACTGCTGCATAAGCTCTCAACTATTTTGTTCTTAAGTGAATTCTTCTAGTGTTCATATTTCCTATTTGCAAACTCTTAAGTCACATTATTTTGGTCATTACCATGGAAGATCCATTCATCTTACAATTCAAAATCAATTGTAGAAATCTCAGTGGACTTTTTGGACTTTCCTTTTCCATTATATGTTATTTGGTTATTAGAAATCTCAGTGGAGAATTATTTACAGATCAAATTTTCCCCCCTTCAGGATGTGTATACCATATTCATAGTTTATTCTATGTGTGTCGCTCAGAAATGAAATTTTATCTGAAAATGAGCATATTTACGTTCGAGTCTATGTCAGAATGACTGATGAGTTGTGACTAGGCTTGTTCTAGATGGTTGATTAATATCTCATCCATCTTATTGTTTTAAATCTTTATTTGTTCTACATACATCGTTTTATCTTCATATTTTTAGAGTTTGTATTACACTGAAAAGTGCTCTATGTCAAAAATTTGTCATTGTGTTCAAGCTTGCAGGCCGAGTTCCCTGCCAATACAAACATTCTATATGTGGATTTACCTTCTGCAGAATTAATTGGATTAAGCAATGATGAAAAGAGTTTACCAGGAATGGTTCTTAATACAAAGAAGCAAATTGTGTATGCTGATCAGTATGGGCAGTGTCACAGGTAAATATTCCCTTACATAAATGGTGCCTCCATTTATTAGTCCAACTTTGGATGTCCTTCCACATCTGATGGGTTGCGCTTACTCTGCTGGATTTTGGATTTGTTTCTTTTGGGAGCAATTCCCAATGTTTTTCTTCTTTGTAATCAATCTTAGGAGAAGAACATTGGTATACATCTTCTAAGACTTTGCTCTCCATTTTATTTTTATGAACTGATTCAATTTTGAATAAAGTACTTTTAGTATTTTCCATATGTTCCTTCTGATCTGAGTCACCATTAGAATAGTTGTGTGTTGGCTGACTATCTATTGTCAACCTTGAAAATTTTGGGATATAATTTTCTTGGGAATAGAAAGTTTATGGGAATTTGTTTCTTTATGAGAAACTGGGAATTCTAAGATACTCAAATCAAGTTTCAACCGTCAGCCTAAGTTGTGATTTCATTTAATTTAAAGGTCAATGTACTTCTTAGTGATTTTTTCATGTCTTACTGTCCAGATGTGCTTTTGTTGCAGTCAATCAAATTTTACATAGTTCTAATGTTTGCATCTATCAGTGAAATAGTATCTAATGATATTTTAGTTTTTCATGGTGATGGCATTAATGAATATTACTTTTTACTTGCAGTGTCTCCGGTGGTAGACTTGAGTGCACCATGCAAAATATTGCAGACAATTTTTTTAGTACATATTCATCTAGATGCTACAAGGATATCCAAGGTATGTGTCTTATCTTCTTAACTCCTCGACTTAGCCATTGACTCCACCTTCATTTGGGTAAGCCTGATCATCTTGCAACTTGTATCAGCAGATCAGTTGGATGCCTTTATTGTGTATAATGAACGGAGAAAAGTTACTTCATCTGCTAAGAAGAAGAGAAAACATACAGACATGTCATTGCACCAGGTTATACTTTTATAGTTATTTGACAGAGAATCCTTTTAACTCAGAAATGGGGGGAAAAAAACCTGATATTGAATCTTCTTTCATTAATTGCTAAATTTTGACATATACCTTCCTCACCTTGCACACGTCTCATTGAACCTTTACTGATTTCTATGTCACAAATTTGTGCAAGTTAAATTTATATGCAGACTCCAGATGGTTCATTGTTGGATATCCTCCGTAATGCCTATGACCTTCTTCTGCAATGTGACATTGAACTTCCTGAGGCAAGTCTTCATGTATATGTAGTTTTAAATCCCTATTCATTATTAAATTGATGGATGTCAGTGGAATACTTGTAAATCTATCTGCTCACTTTTCCCTGGTTAATATAGAAGAAGCATTAGTGTGTATGCAACCTGTGTGGTTTCCAGCCAAGATCTCGGAAGAGTAATAGTTTTCTCTTTCGTGTTCTACAGATAGAAAGTAACAACAAATATGTTGAATCTGGACCACCATATCTCATATTTCTGCATCCCGCTCTTGGTCCACTTTGGGAAGTCACAAGACAGAAAGTGAGATTATCTTTTTTGCTATTTCATGGATTAGTTGCCAGTTTTGTGTTATGTACAGTAGAAGTATTCCCCTTTTATTTATTTTTTCTTAGTATTGGTTGGCTGTAAAGATTTTCTTAATATTAAAACCTGTACATGCTATATATTATCTCGCAAAGTAGAAGCAATCAACAAGTTGTTTGATGACCATACATAACTGTCTGTCATCTCAGTTCAATGGAGGTTCCATTTCCAAGGGTTCAGAGTTACAAATAGAAGTTGCTGAGTTCTTGTGGAGGGATGTTCAGGTTTTAATATTTGATATATAATCAATGAAGGCATGCAATTTTTTTTTTTTTTGCTTGCTGATGTGGTTTCTATTTTGCAGCTTGAAGGTAGCCTGATCATTGTGGCAGAAAATGTAATGGGCTCGACTAGGGTTGGTGAAAATGGTGAACCGATATTACAATATGGTCATAGGTAAAATAGGCACAATGTCTATTGTGGGACAATAGTGTTCAATTTAATAACTTCAAATGTAACTTTCTTTTTCTAGGTGTGGAAGGTGTAGATTACATAATGTCAAAGTGCTGAATGAAGGAATTGACTGGGAGTCCAGCCAAAATATATATTGGAAGCATGATGTACAGAGGATTGAAGCATTTAAAGTCATACTGCATGGAAATGCTGAATTTGAGGCTAGCAATGTTACCCTGAAGGTAGACTTACAAAATAAAATGATAACTTAGTTGTTCATGGATCGTGGTAGTAATATGTCCAGAGTATCTGGAGTAGGATAATCAGCTGTTACTTAGAGAAATTTTAATTGTATTTTTAAAAAACCAGAATAAACTGTTACATTTTACAAGTCACACGAGTGGTCCAATTGTATGCACTCAAGCCATAGATGGAAAAAAAAAGTCTACAAAATAATCATCAGTGTTAGTCAGTTGCTTGATGGAATTATCCAGAGAGGGATAATGTGAACCTTTTTGCCATTTAGGTAACTGTTTGTTAGATGTTTGTACATATATCCTGAAGGTATGCCAAAAGGTTTCAATTGGTGTGTTTCCCTGATACAGGGAAATCATGTCTTAGAAGTCCCAGATGGCTATAAAATGAAGATTACATCAGGAAATCAAGGTGTGCAATAATTTATTAAATTATATATATACTTGTTGCATAAATGTGTTTGTTAAAAGTACATACAGTACCCATTTGTGGTTTTTTTTTCTCAATTCAGGTTTTGTTGTCAGCTTAGACACCATTGAACAGAACTTGATGGATACTGGAAGCTGGTACTGGAACTACAAGTTAAATGGCACACACATTCTGTTGGAATTGGTAGAGCTGTAACATACTAACCAGAGTTTTTAACTTGCTTATGTGAATCATGGTTCACAGATGGACTAAGAGCTCATCACCTCTAGGATCCATTTGTTTTTAGTTTAATTGGTTGAACAGAAGTTGAACCTTTTTTTTTTCTCTAGGGTGCTTCCTACTAATACGTTGGAAAAGAGTTGTAAAACCATTGTCGTATAGTATCATACAGTTTTTGGGTCATTATTGATGTAATCTTAATGTAAGTAAGTAAAACAGTGTAAAAGTTTAATTGGTGAAAAGTTCTATTTTTATTCTCCTCCTGTTTACAGGAGTTAATTCTCAATGATATAGCCTAAATGTTACTTTTTATGAATTTTATTTTAGTAAGCATTCTTTTGAGGCCAATTCACAGGCAAGCGAAGTAACTTGAAAGCTTGAATTTATGTTATACTGTTTACTGACATATGTGTTTTATACACTTCATAATTTTAGGTAAGACAGGTCTATATGTTTGAGAATCAAATATGGAAACAGTGGTGAGTCCTCAGAAGTCAGTTTGGTATACACAGGCAAGGACTGAAGTCTGTTGGCATGGTATGTACTATTTTGTGTATCATGAGTCGATTGCTTTACATTGAGAAGCATAGGCTTGGTTTTACTAGAGGAAATGTATGAGACCAGAAAGTTGGTTTTACATGATTATCGATGTTACCTCCTTGGTGCTGATATCAATACTACACTTTACACTTTATATTTCCAAAAAAAATTATTACCAATGTTACCTCGTCTGATTTATACTGATGGCACTAAGATCAAGCTAACTTCTGCATGGTTTGGATCGGAAGGAAAAAAAATAGGAGTATGTTAATATCAATTTTTCTCTCAATGACAATTTTGTTTTGTTTTGCAACCATCAGGATGTAGGAGCTCTCTACTTGTTTTCTATTTGGAATTCTTTTAGCAGACTATTAGTCATTATGCCATTTGGCTACAAACATATCTTGTAATGAAATGCATATCAAAGTTCTGGAAGGCTTAGCTGAATTCAAAGTACTTCTTTTCAAAGATGATGTGAAGATGAACAAATCCAATGAGGTTTAAGATTCATCAGTAACAAATGAACATCTGTATGCTTTCTATGAAATCCCCAAATTTACAATTCTCATATGTTGTATGGTAATCTGTTATCGAACAGGATTGTGAGATAGGGAGCAGCACCTGTTAAGTAATCTAAGCAGTGCCTCAGCCTTCCTTCGAGCTTTCAAGGACCCATCAGCAGCCAAGCATTGTAGAGAGGGAATAATCATAGGAATTGTTAACATGTGTCTTGCAACTTCATCCCTCCATCTTTGCACAGTCCCAACAGAAGAGTTATTGAACTCTCCTTCCCTTTTGCAGATCCAAATCGCAACATATCAATGAGAAGAGGCACCAGAAGCTTACTCCTCCTTATCTCCTGCAGCCCATCAGAACAACCCAATAGCAAAGCCAATATTCCCAGGGCGTCATCTGTTATCCCTGCCCTGTCGTCCATCAGTAGGTCAATAAGCAGAGTAACTGCCCCAGCAGCAACGACGCTCGCCTTGTTACCATAGTAGACTGCAAGATTAAACAGTGCTGTTGTAGCATCTCGTTTTCCTGCTTGTGTACCTTCTCTCAGTAGTGCAACTAAGGCGGGGATTGCCCTTGGATGGGATCCAATAGTCACCTTGCAATCATCGACCATTGACAGGCTAAAGATTGTTGCTGCTGCGTTTTCTCTTGCCTCCATTGTTTTTCCTGATTCAAGAACATCTACTATGCTGTCAATTGCTCCAGCTGCCATTATTAATATCTTATTATTGTCAAATATAGAAAGGTTGAGTAAGGCCGTAACTGCATTTTCCTGAGTTCTGGAATCATGAGAACTTAGTAATGTGACAAGAAATGGTATGGCTCCTGCTTCAGCAATTATCCTGCGGTTATCCATGCCAGTTTTTGCAAGCAAGCGCAGTTCATAAGCTGCCTGCCTTTGGATTTGTGGGGAACCCATTGCCAGCTTCCCCACCAAAAATTCAGCTGTCATTTTGACCGCATCTCTGGCTGATTTTGCAACCGAGATGTGATCAACAGTATCCTCGCATAATTTCCTCTTGCTGTTGTTTCTTTCCCTATCTGAAGATGGTGCTGAGCAGTCCCCTAGAGATATATTGTTCTCTTGGCACCATTGATTCATTAGACTCTTCAGTGCATAATTGGGAATTAGAGCTGTGTGAATCAGCCTTTGCCCACTCTTTGGACATGTAGGATGTCCTGAATTGATCCACTGGGCAATCGAGCTTCGGTCATAGGTATGCCCTGATGCCACTATTACAGGGTCTCTCATCAAGTCGAGTGAAATTGGGCAACGGAATTCATCGGGAATACCAGGAAGTGATTGAGAAGATGAAGAATGATCGTGCTTTCTATTTGTGGATTCGGACCACTTTTCAGTGTCATCTTTTGTCTTATCATCTTCTTTTCCATTGAGAATCATGGATTTGTAGTATGAGACAAGAGATATGAGGTTCTTTATGTTGGAAATAACGATAAGTCCACCTGTACCTGCCTGCTTCTTTGCTTCTGCCTCTAGCTTTGATATTTCTTCATCATAATCCTGTGAAGTCCTCAAGCCAATGCTGCTCAAAACACTTTTCACCTTTTCAGATTCAGTGAAGCCCTTGTTCTTGGTGATCTTCTCATTTTTACAGATCATCACTTGGAGAAAGTCTTCTCTTCTTTGAAGTTCTCGAGGATCGACAAACAAACCAGCCCTCCTTGTTTGCTTGTGAAGAAGCTCAACTTGCTCTCTGGTATCTATTATTATATTGAGCAGGCTCAGAGGTAGAATATCAAGTGCCCTTCCCATCTCCTTTACGAGCACATAAAATTGATTGGAAACAAACTCTGTTTGTACAAGGCTCCAAAGGGAGCTTCCATCTTTGCACTCTTGGATCAAGACCTTCACTCTTTGAATCACAGAAAAAAGCTCGGTGAGACACAGGACTGAGGATGGAGGAAGAGGGTTGCTCATTTCTTGCATTTCCTCAAACAAAGAAGAAAGAAGTTTGATCCTTCTTATCATGGTTGAGATGTTTCTAACCTGTATAAAAGGGAGCTTTTCCGTTGAAGCAACTTCATTAGATAGATGAGTCAAAGATTCCAGCAAAGAGCCGATTGGCAAAAAGCCTGAGGAGACCATGATATGAGGAACCGCTGTGTCCATCACTTCCTCTCACTGTATATCAGTTTCCGTCCATTGTTATAAGCAGGTCAGATTTTTCTTGTCATTTAGATCACTTAAAGAGAACCTCCCTCATTTTGGATCATGTTAATACTATTTCCAACAACAATAATTATTAAATTAATTGCATGAAATTTTGGCCACTTCTGTTTGTACTGGTTATACAGCAGACAAGAGGAAAGGTGATGAGACGAAAGTTCTGGGTAGCTACTTGCTGCCACTTGGAAGAATCTCCGGCCTTAGTGGGAATGTTAGCTATATTTCCTTAATTTTATGTTCAAACTGAATATTGAACAAGACTTGCCTAGATTACGTTTTGGTGACTTCTAATTTCTTGCTAATATTAATGGCCCTGTTAGCGTGTCTTATTAGAAAGCCTTGAGGCATTAATTCTAACTTGGTCTAACTATTGACGTCTGTTAGAACTGCAACTAAAAATTTGTCTGCTCTTTGTACAGGTAGTTTAATTGGACTTGTTCTAATGGGAGAATACAGAGACCAAGTCACTGGTAACTTGGTTTCTGACCAAGATTCTTTAGAATTTCCTATATTTATTGGATAGTCGATAAAAAAAAAAAAAAAAAAACTATTCATTGGTTGAGTTTCATTTATCAAAGTTTATTAGTATTTGTCTATTTTCTCTAAATTCAACCTGCAGAGCCAGGTTTTATTACATTAAAACTTATAAGCTCTTGACCAAAAATTTCATCTTAGTATATTATTCCATAATTGATAGAACATATATTTTAAGAGCTTATGAGCTTAAAAGAAAAAAAAGAACTAAATGGCCTTTTAGCTCCACCGTTTATGAGCCAAATTGATTCTGAACTGTCATTGCTACTCTCTTTTCCGAGATGGTGATATCCAACATTCCTGGCTTAACATATTAGGCTTTATTTATGGTAAACATACGCTGCCGATCAATAGTAAGCTCCTAACCCTAGCATCCCGGAAGTTCACCTCAGTAGCATTTTACTTCTTAACTAGCAGGGGTCTTGATGGGATTGTTTTAGCTTGGCGCCTTTTAAGTGTGTCTCTATCATGAGGATCTTCCAAGGCTATAAACCTGTAATAAGCGTATAACATATCTTTGGAGCCTATTATTTATATGGTCCACAACTAGTGGTGAGATTGGAAATAGAGATGCACCAACAGGTGTGAATTTCTATGTTCCTCGAAATTTACTTGGCTGATGACTAACAACCAAAATGGAGCTTTCTCGTTGGATGGTACCAATTAAAAGTTTCTTGGCTACCAAACAGAATGGAGCTTTATAGTTGGATCATATGCCCTAGAATCGGTTGAGGATTTCTTCTTCTAGTTTTGTGTTATGTGCTAACAAAATAACTGAAATGAACAATATGGTATTTGTTTATTCTTTAGCTTGGTCCAAATACTTCTCTAATGCAGCCTCAAAATCTTCTCTATTCTTTTTTTCTTGTTTTGTCGTTTTGAGCAGGATGGTCTGGTTATTGGGATCGGTTCTTTTTTAAATGCCCTTTATATATATATATATATATATTGGTGTGGTTTATGCTGTTTGAATTGTTCATGTCATCTTAGAAGGCTGAGTTAGAACTTTAATAAAGAAGAGAAAAAGTCTTCCTAAAAACAGTCTTTTGTGGAGGAGGATGAAGTGGAATGGTAGGTGATGTTCAAAAAATTTCTCACAAGAGGGCCCGTTTGCTGTGTGTATTAATTGCGTATTTCTTTTCAGAACAAATCTACTATCTCAATTCGAATTATATTTAATTTAATTAGGATGTTTAAAAATTCTATTTTAATAATAAAAATTTAATAGAAATGGAATTCAGTTTCCTCAATTAACTTCCACAAGCCAATCATACGGCATTTCAATATAATTTTTCTAAGAATTTAACTATAGTCAAATCAGAATATATTATTTGTTAAAAAATAAATATAAAATGTGAAATTCAAATAGACCAGATTATGCGAATTCAGATAAAAAAAATATATTCCCTACTCAAAATGTGGTGCCTTTGGTAAACTTTTAAGGTAAAACTTTTTTCATCCTATAGGTTTCCATGTTTGTGGATAAAGCCATAATACTTGTTTACGTAGGGTTTTTTTGCTTTAAATTTCTTCTTAAAGTTCTTTCTACAATCACATGAAATATCTCCTTTCCGTAGATGAACTATCTTGTCTCGTCATATCTTTACCCATGTTCAATTATTTGGACCCTCTCTACCACCTGTACATTCAGAAAAGCACATATAAATACTGAACAAAAACGTACATACAAAATATATAACAATTTTTTTCTTCTCAAATTTTCTTTTTATCTTGGAGAAAACATAAATTTGGCAGGACAATTGCTTTTGTTTCACTCCAAGAAGTCCTTTCATGACAATAAAAGAAGAGAGCAGTCCTTTCAACAAGTGGTTGTTTAAAAGAAAAGGGAGAAAATTTGAAAGAGAGGAAAAAAAATTCTTTTCTAAAAACAAGAGGAAAGAAACCATTAGAAAAAGAGAAAATATATAAAAGAAAAAAATCTTAATTGTTTATAAGAATTTATTTATTAATAGATTAAATATTGGATTCATAATCGCTTTTGCAAACTGATACGGGAATAATATAAATTTCTAAAAAATAATGGACAGATTCTAATTGAATTTTATAATTTATATGGTAGTTTTTGTTAATAAATAAGTGTGGCTGTATAATTATCTTTATATATATATATATATAAACTAATGCGGTACGTGAAATAAATTGAAAAAAATAATTTAAAATTTTTTTTCCGGTAAATAGAAAAATGAGTTTAAGTAAGGATGAGTAAGTTCATTGTTAAGAAAGAGTCAATTTGTAGAACAAATTCATGGTTGATTGTTTGGGGATAAGTTCTTAAATTTTTTTTCTTTTTTCAAAAATTTTTATAAATTTTTTATTGTTATTAATTTAATTAATTAATTAATTAAAATATTTTTTAAAAAATAGTTTTTAAAGAGTTCAAATATAACTTAATTATTTTAAAATTTTCTAATATTATTTTATAGATCATAATACTCTTAAATCTGCAATTTTTGTATATTTAAAAAAAAAATTGCCCACGCAAGTCTTGAAATTGTAATCTTTACATTATTAGCACGATATTCTAATCAACTATAATTAATAGATCTTAAAAGTATTGATATATGTAAGCCTTAGACCTACCATTTTCACATTATTTGCACAATGCTTTAATCATTTAGTGTATTTATTTCAAATGTATTGACTCGTACAAATCTCAAACTTACAATCTTTAACTTCATTTGCACAGTACATCCTAATCAATTGAGCGAAAATGCCTTATAACAATGTTTGTTTATGTATCTTATTATTCATAAGATCAAAAGCATAAATGAAATTAATTTATTTGACCTGTCAAGGAATTTAGTTTCTTTAAATTAAATTTTTATAGATATTACCATATTTTATAATATATACACATAATTAAATATATATATATATATCTCATAGATCAAATTATGAATGAAGTTAACTTATTTTTAATTGGAGAATGAATATTTAGGCTTGAATTTGAAAAATATTACATATACATATATATAACGTATAAATTAGCACAATGCTTTGACCAACTGAGTTAATAACTTTAACAAAAAAAATTTGTGAACTGTAGTATTCTCTCACTATAAAAGAATTAAGTCAAAGAAAAAAAACAAGTCTCCAAATTACAACATTTATGTTCTATTTTATATATAAAAAAAAAAATCATATTTTGTATATGTTAGAGAACCTAGTTATTTTCACCAAGATTATCATCAAATTTACTTTTGAAATGCTAAAATTTACTTAAATTTATTTTCAATCTACTAGAATTAACCTCAAATACCCTACCTACTAAATATATATTACTACATCTTATACAAGTATATATTTTAAAAATATTAGGCACATAAAATCTAAAACTTTCTACCTTTAAGCTAAGATGCCTCTACTAAAAATTACTTGTCAAGCTATAAAATTCATTAATTACAAAAAGATTATAAAAGACAGTAAGAGAGAAGAAGCAAAAACATTGGCCCATGTAAGTCTCGAACTTACAGTCTTCACATATTTATTTCTACACTCTAACCAACTGAGCCAAAACAGAGAGAGTCATGGAGCCTACACAGAAAATATAATCAGATACTTAGGGGATTCAGATGTGGACCATTCGAGCCTATTTATATTGGTAGGGAGAGTTAGATAAGATTGTGACAAAGGTAAGTGCTGCTTTCCCGATCATGAAAGCTATGAGAGGACACGAGCCACGTTCGAGTTCCTCTTGTGCTGCCTGCAAGTTCTTGAAGAGAAGATGTTCACCCAACTGTATTTTCGCTCCATATTTTCGTTCCGACGAGCCAAAGAAATTTGCTAAAGTCCACAAGGTTTTTGGTGCAAGCAACGTGAGCAAGATCCTCATTGAGGTTCCAGAAGAGCAACGAGAAGACACTGTGAATTCTCTGGCTTACGAGGCTGAGGCAAGGCTCAGAGATCCAGTTTATGGTTGCATTGGCGCCATTGCATTGTTGCAAAGAAAGATGGTTGAGCTTCAGCATGATTTGGCCATTGCCCGTGCTCGACTTGCTAGATACTCTGCAAATCCTTCTTCTTCTTCTTCTTATATTTCTGTCTTCAACAATCATATGGCCATGCCAAGTTTCAATGACCTCCCTGGCTATGGTGGATTACTGTTTGATGGTTATGGCCAGAGCTATTCCTTGGAAATTAACAGAGATGGGCAGATGTATGATTTTAGCCAAACCCCTTATGTATAGTATTGCTTCATATCTTTTTTTTCTCTATGATAGAAATTTGAAAAGTTTAGTGTTTCAATTAATAATGTAATGGTAAATTCAAAAGAGAACGGTTTAGTTCTGTCAATAATGTCAGAGGCAGAGATAGAGAAACCCATTTCACAAAACTCTTGAATTTTTAGAAACCCAGCTCAAAACTTAAAAAGATTATTTCAAGGTAACCACAACCCAGAAAATGGAAAATTGATTTGACCTACCATTTTTTGCATATTGACAATTCTACTAAGTACTCAATACCCACATAGCAGCACAATTATTACTCTTTCTTGAGTGGTACCAGTTTTTGTAGGCCATTATCATTCTTTCCTTTTTAGAAAACTCCTGTCCGTTCTGGCAAGCACCACATGCAGTTGTTGCTTCACAAAGTTCTTGTACACATGAATTTTATGATGGGTAGTTTTCTTCATCAAAATTATTGAACATGGACAGAACAGATCTTCATTTTCGGTCTGCAAGATCTAACCGAAAATCTTACCAAATCAACTGCTGAATACGGAAAAGCTCCCTCATTCTTCAAGAGCTGATGGCACAGTTGCTTGAATTCCAGATCTGCAAGAGCTCTTGCTACAGCTTCTCTGGGATTGTTTTGGTTCAAAACAAAGAGGATTGGCTATAATGTCACTAACCCCACAAGGCGCCACTAACTTTTATAGTGCATTCAGAATCCAAAGATACAATGATAAGGAAGAAAAATTAACAGTGATACCACTTATCATGAACTGTAACGTCTTTTCGATATAATGAATCTGACTGTAAAGGAGTAGAGAGATTACATATTATGATGATTCGGGTATTATTAAAATCACTGTACTTCAATCAATAACCCTCCATTCTGTGAAAGAAAATGATTGATCATTCCTCCCCATCGCAAGGTTTCGACTCATTTCGTTCAATAAGAACTTACTGCTCCAAGTTGTCAAGACATCAGAATTCAGATTGCTTAAAAATTGCGTAGTTAGAAATCTTATAGCTATTTACCACCTTCCATCTCTTCCATTTGCGTCTTTGTATGTCAACCTTAGAAGAGAATGTAAAATCTTAAGCAGCTCAAACATGGGTATCTTGAGACAAAATGCAAATGCAACCTATTATACATCAATCGCATACAACATATGATTTACAAATATAGAAGGTGACCATGTTACAGTTAGAAACTAGAAGATATCTATATCGAGACAACTAATTATGTACATCAACCGTTACAACAACAGCTACATACACTTCACCATCATTAAGACCCGCCATACCCAAAAAAGCCCCATTCCTGCACCAGATATCCAAAAAAAAGACCTTGATATATATAGTCAGGCTGCAAGTCTTCTATTTTAGAGCAAGAGATCCCAGAAATTGGTTGTCACAGATATGTCCAGGCTGCAGGTCTTCTTAGAAACAGAGGAATCATGAGGTCCAAGACTATGATTTCTTCCCTGTTCAAGATTGAATCCCAGGTTGGTAAAATGATAATTAAGCTAGAGGAAGGACATTACCATTTACAACTCACAAAAATAGTTCTGAGCTACAGTTATCAACTCTGGTCTCTAACAAACAAATTAAAGTTACCAATCAGTTCTGCATTAAAGCACCTTGCACAATGTGTTAAGCATGGCAAAGAGACAACTTGTTAACCATTTCTTTTACCTAAAAACTAACAGTTCTCAGTTGTTACAAGGTTTTAAACACAAAGCAGGACAAAAAGGCAAGCAGAAACCCACCACAGACCAAATAAACCTAAAAACCAACACTGAAATGAACATAAAAACCCACCAAGCATTATGTAAACCTACAAAAGCAAGAACAAGATGAACACAAACACCAAACAGAAATTACACTTGGATCCAACTACACAGTCATTGAAGCAGAGGCCGTACACCACATATCAATGGCGAATGTTCTCTTTTTCTTTCATTTTTTTGAAAAACAAAAAAGAAATCCAACCCCAAAGAAAAACATTTGCATACCCAAACTTACCCAAATCAATTCTTATGTAAGCATTTAAGCAACATACCCAAATTCTTATGAATGCAGTGATTGAATTCGTTAATAATAAACTATTATTCTTTACTTAATTTTCCAGCTCCAATTAATCAATAAACTAAAGCAAATCTGACCACTGACAGAAAATTCAAAAATTTCCCAAAAATAATAATCACATTAATCCATCAATGACCTAAAACTTGCAAACTTAACCAACGATAAACAAATCAAAACCTATTACAATTAAACTACAGAAAAAATCTTTAATTTTTCTACATAGCTGGTCAATTGACCATGCAAATTACCTGAATCAGCAGCTTGCCTCTTTCTCTTCAACTTCTCCAGCTGTACCTGAGCATCCATCAACATATTCATTCGCTTAAATTCGAGATCCTTCATAAACTCCATCCTCTGCTTCTCTAACTCCATAATTTGCTGCTGCTTCGAGCTCTCTATCCTCTCATAAGCCTCCCCGAATTTCAATATTGCTCTCGCCAATTCCCTATACCCAGCCCCACCAGAAAAATCTACGGCCTGTGCTCGATGCTGTTTCCTAGCCATCGAACCCACCCCTTCGTCCTCATCATTATCGTCATCGCCGCCAAACGAGCTTTCTGTTGACTTCGAGCCGGCCGCATATAGATTCGGGTTAACGCCTGGCTTGTGGCGGGAGGAGTTCACTGTGAAAGTGACGGAGGGGGGTTTCTTTGCAACGCCGATGAGGGAATCGAGACGATGAAAGAACGGCCACTTCGACGGCGCCGGCTTCCCTTTCTCCAGCTTGTACTTCTTCTTCAAAGTGTCGATGCGGTTCTTGCACTGAACATCGGTCTTGAGCCTGACGATGCCGTCATAACGGCTGGAGTTAACAGCGTCAGCGACCTCCTTCCAGTCCTTCTGTCGTAAATTCCCGCGGTTGAGCTTCACGTAACGGTCTCCCCACGTCTCGATGAGCACCTCGGTGGCGGCTTCGCTCCAGCAGTCCTCGCGGCCGCCGCCAACGGACGCGGGGAGTTGGTGGGTGGGACCGTGGGGGTCCATTATTGGTGGCGCGTGGTATGTCCTAACGTGCGCGCCAACTGTTGGGGTGCAGGATAAGAGATTGGGAGGTGAAGAGGAAGACGATCTGATGGATTGATGCTGATGCGAGGGGAAGAGACAGGAGAGATAGGGAAGGAGAGGGAAGAAGAGAGAGAGAAGAGAAAGGAAATGGAAAGGGGAAGGAAAGTGGGGATTGCCGTGACATTGTGACCGGCGGTGACGTCAGATACCGTCATTAGAGTTGGAAGGGAATGGGATTTTAGGAGTTGGGAGTTTTTTTATCCACTGTACATGCGTGCATTGTTGTCAGTTGTTACCTGTCAATTTCGTTTTTAATTGTGCTTTTTAGTAAATCATTAGACATAAGCGAGGATTAAAGTATAAAATTAGCTTATAACAGTAATTAGGTTTAAAGCTCAATGCCCAATGATTTTAACATTTTAACATTTCTTAATTATTAAAAAAAAAAAAAAAAAAAAAAAAATCCTTTACATAATTAACATTCAAACAACGAGCACTAGAATTGTTAAAGATAAATTATATTTATTAATTATGAAAATTTCAGAAACCATATTGTAATTTATTCTTAATTGATATTATTAATGCTAAGAAATAGATGAAATTTTTTATTGTTTACTTGTAACCAAATTTTCATAAAAATTCCTCAATTTATTACCAATTGGTAAGTCCCTTTTAAGCATTTCCTCCAAGACCAATTCTGCCTCCTTAAACCTGTTGAGATCAATAAGCTTACTACACAAATGCCCAAAACTAAACGTATCCAACTTCTCATCTCTCCCGCCATTCACCATCACAAACTTCACCCCCAGCGCAGTATAGCCATCCTTCAGCAACGCATTGATAACGTGCGCGTGTGTGGAATACAACACCGGCACCCCTTCATCCTCCATCTTCCTTAATACCAACAAAGCCCCCTCCACCTTCCCCGCCCTGCACGCTCCCAGCACCAGAGCGTCGTATGCACGCGAGTCCGCACCCAAACCCTCCTCTTCCATCCTCCGCGTCAAATCACGCGCCGCCTCCAGGTCGCCGTTGAAGCAATGAGCGGTCAAGATGTAATTGTAAGCCGTCAGATCGGGCGGCACTCCGAGCGATCTCATAAGCTCCACAATGCGCCATGCTTCATCCATCTTCTTCATTCGGGTCACCACGCTGAGGATCGGGTAGAAGGTGGCGACGTTGAGGCCGTAGCCGCCGCGAACCATGGCGTCAACTACTCGCAGGGATTCGTCGACTCGGCGCAGCTTGCAGAGCCGCGCGACGAGCGAATCGTACGCGCTCTTGCGCGTGAAACCGGAGTCGAGACGAGCTAAAGTTCTGCAGAGATGGTCGATAGAGGAGAGGGAAGTGTCAGTATTCGTGATGAACTTGAACGTACTCGTAGTGGTGAAACAGCCATCTTTGGCGCGCTTGTTGAGAAGGTACCTTACGGCCTCCAGGTCACCGGATCCCCCCGCTTCGTTGATGAGGTCGTCGTAGTACGCGGACGTTGGCTCATCGGGGAACTCGTGGGCGTTGTAGCTAGGTTTTTGGGTGGCGAATAAGCGAGCAGAAATGGGTTTGAGTACATGGAAGGGATTGTGAAGTTTATTGCGGAGATTCCAGAGAAGAGACATGGAACTTGGGATTTAAGGGTTTAGCGGAAGAATGAGATCGCGAATAGAGAGTGACAAAATGGATACTTGAGGTTTAGGGGTTTAGGCTTTTAGACGCGAAGTTACTACTAAGCTCAAATACACATATAAAATTACGTAAAAATAAGCTCAAATACACATAAAATAACCCTAAGACTAAAATACTGGAAAAGTTAGTCTATTATGCACGATGCCCACAAGACTCGGACTAGTACTACCTCCTCTGTTTCACCTGTTCGAAAAACATCTTTAGGAAACCTTAACATTAAATGTTAAGACAGTACTGAACATTTTGCATAATCTCTCATGTGCAAAAATTTACGTCGAGCTAACACAACCAATTCAGCTCCGGGAGGTAGCTTTGACCCAAAACACATCTACTACCACCAAACCCATTAATCTCTACCATCTTTATTGATGAGGAAACCTTGTAGAAGTCTCGTAACATTTTATCTGTATGTAGGCACGTCACTCCGAAACAGGGATTCTTTTAACTAGAACTCCCAAGGACAGGGTAACTAGTAACTTCAGTCACTTTAAAACAATGATATAATAAAAATCAAGGTGGCCTTCCTTTCTAGTATACTGAGTGCTCCATAGATTATTAACTGTTGGAAGGAAAATGAAAAGTCAGGCCATGTATTGATTTACCAACTTAATTCCGACAATGAATGAAGAACAAACAACAGCAGTTTGTGAATCAAAAAATGAATGAAGAACAAATAACATCAGTTTGTATTGATCTACCTTAAAAATTCTCTACAAAGACAGGTAATATATGTAAAAAGATTCCCCAGCATGGAAAAATAAGGTCCACAGTAGCTTACATTCAATATACAGCCCATACCAGTCACGAATAGCCACATTGGCTTCTTTGACATGTTAATTTTCAAGTTGTTGGACGGATCATGGTTTCACTCAATTCACAAGAGGTATAAAGATCCAAAATTCTATGGTGTCTCACAGATAGGATGCCTTCATGCTAATTTTCTATTATTTTATAATCATGACTAAGAATAATCATCACCCACCATAGTATAGTACACCACTGTATACTATTCGTGCAAGATGAAGAAAATATCAAGATCCTGTCCTATAAGGAATAAGCAAAGCATTTCCTCAATTAATAACAGCACGAGTGTAATTCAGGTCCACAATAATTTGATCATCCTTACAAAATTGGCAGCCAACCATCAGTGGCTAAGCCGCATAGTTTATTCTAAGTGCAAAAAGAACTGAATTGGGGAAAGAAACTAAAAGGAAATTCAAGCTGAGAGTTTTAGTTAGATATCTCTGACAAACTTAATCATCACTTTGTACTTGAATATTCAACAAAGAAAAACATGAAAAACTTTAAGGTGATTTGGTATCCTAAACAAAAAAAAAAAACACAGAATCACACAAATTTTTTTTTTGCGCAGAAAAACACAGAACAACACATAGTTACCAGCAAATGCACCAAAATAATAATCAAGAGTTTTGATAGGGCACATATGTAGCCTGAAGAATTACACACGTGAACCACAAACTTGCATAACAAAGGCGGTGTGTTGATGACACTAGTGCACCACAATAGGCACTGATAGCCTCCTCTATAAATTCCGAATTTTAGATGACAAAGCATTTCTAACTCCGGATAAATCAAGAGGAAATCAGGTTCTTTTTTTTTAAATACAAACAGTACTGTATACTAATAAGGCACCGAAGGGGTGCTCATTTACAAATTTACAAGTTTATTAACAAATCAATAAGTTCCGCAAAATCCTCCAAAGTAACCAAAAGATAACCCTGTAACAAAAAACCAAGAGTCCGGAACCATCTATCCTTAGATATATCAAAACCATTAACATCCTCAACCACCTCAAAAGCCCTCATATTTTTCTCCTTCCAGTCAACCCAAAAACTAGAGAGTTGAGTAAAATCTAGATATCAAAACCATTAACCTTCCACGCCAAATTCCTCTTTCACTGAACCTGTTATCGCCCAACTTATTCCCAACAATCCATACACCATGGTCCAAAGCTTATATACCATCAGGCAATGCAAACACGTGCTTACAAGTCTCCTCATCACTCTTGCAAAAGAAACAAGCATTAACTAAAATCCGGAGCGCCGGGGAACGGGGGGGGAGGACTCTAATTATCATACATTTGTACAGTTTTTTGTAGAAAGATTTGACAGTAAATGACCCATTGGATGTGAGGCACCATTGTGGTACATCAGTTTCTGAAGGATTTCCTCATGTTAAAAAGAGGAAATCAGTTACCTGAAGAGAGGTGGTAGAACACATGCTAAAAGTAAGAAAAATTGTAATGCAGTCTGCATCCTTCAATTAAGTTATCATAACTTTATTGGTCAAAGTCATAAACTAGCCCTTGTATTTTTTTGAATTACTTCAATTAGATCTTGTTCAATTTCCATGTTCAATTAAAGCCTGGAAGTTTGAACTTGATTCTAATAACCCCTTCCAAGATAGAAAATAAAGAGTTGTTAACACCTGTCTAAGTGATCGATGATGGCAACATAGTGCACAACAAGCAATGACGTGGAAATACACTGTAGCTATTTTTTATATGAAAAATTATATTCAATATTAACAAATAAAACTCATTTTAGTATTAAACTTATAAAAAAATCTACCATCATTCTTATCTTCTCCATTACTCTTGCAATGACATTGAAGAAGCTTCTCAGTAAAGTGGCATAAAAAGAACTCGCATAATCCTCTCACCTCCATGGCCAGTCTTATCTGAATCTTTGTTCTACAAGCACACAACATTACTCCATATATCTTCCCCGATTTCATAGTCGCCCCTCCTCCACTTCCAAACAAAGTCATCACCACCATCCATCCACCACCACTACCATTCTACTACCCTTTCTTCTCAAGAAATCACCTTTCTTTTGTTTTAATAAAAGATATATAAATATATATAGACACACACAAAATTTCATAATAATCTAAAGTCAGACCTAACCACTATGCAAATAACAGTTGAAAAACAAATAAATCCAAACTAACTGGCAGAAAACACCAACCAAGCAGCATGAGACAGACAATAGAGGAAGCCACATCAATCATAATCAGCCAATAACCCAGCATGCAGAGAGCAGCAAAACGATAAACCAAGCTCCCAAATTTTCTGATTTAGAAACAAAAGAACCAGATATCAAGCGCAACCAGCAGGCAATTAAATTAGTGGCTAAGAGGAGAGCAAAAACCTCAAAATCAGTTTCATGAAGAAACTAAGTTCCCAAATTACAGATGGTGAAGAAGACATCATCTATCTGATTCCCACAACTCTAACCTCTGTGGAAAACATAATGCTAGTATTAGGAACCTGTCCTGATTTGTGAAGAAACAAAGAAAGAAGAAAAATTGCAGAAGAAACAGAAAAGAATTTAGAAGAAGATGAGAGCTGAGCTAGAATTTAGGGAGAAGAAAGAGTAAGGAAGACGAAGAGAAAAGAGGAATTGCTGTATAGAGAAGTTTTAAACGTACTTCATATTTTCTGGATACGGATCAATTCCGAACTCTACCTTTTATTGCTGAAAAGTAATTAATTCAAATTAATTTCTAACTGATCAAAACAACTTAACTAACTATTTATAACAAACCTAAACACTATTAGTTGGGTCCTAACAATACCTCTCCATGAAAGCATCTGTGTCCTCAAGGATGTTTAAGCCAAAAACACATATCGGTAATAAACTAAAAAACATAAAATGAAAATTGAGTATTTGCAAAATAAAAAAGAAAGTGCTTCTGCTTATCTCCTTTAATTATCAGCTGAGTTGGCGCCATTTCTGGATGCTCTATTGTTTCCATTTCCTAAGCCTTTCTCATGTGTCCTCTCTAGCAAAGGCTCTGGTCATAAGACCCTTGATGCTCTTGATGCTTATAGGGGTAAAATTTGACATACACCCACACATTGACTAATATCCTTCTATTGAGTCATATAAATTTGTCATCCCAAGTAGCCATAGAAAAAACTTAAACCAGTTATATCAGATTCTGCAGTGAGAACTTTATCATCAACAACTGAATATCTATTTTTTAATAAAACTCTTAAACTTCTTCCCTTCTATGTTTGACGGCCCCCAGCCTTCCCATTTGCGCCTCATTGATGATTCAATTGCACCAAACTCGAGCGTCCTTCGGTTATCAGAATGATATTAAACATGCATCCAAATATCAATTACTAAAGGTGTATTATTATAAGAAAAGACAAATGCACCCTTAGACAAGTTCATTTCAATATAGTTCTCAAACTTGTCAACTCCTTGTGGACTTTTCAAAAACACTGTTTGCATTTTTCTCAGATGGAAGGAAAACTCTACTGCTGCCCAACTGTAATTCCATCTTCAACTCTTTAAATTTCTGGTCAATCTGACATTGATTCCACTGCATGGCAGCTTCTTCGTGAAGCCGAAACTCTCTATCATTTGAGATGACTCCCTTTTTGTTCAGTAGGTTTCATCTTAAAATCATCCCAATCCTTTAATTGAGGAATTTTAGCAAACACTTGGTGGTCATTCATCAAATACCTTCATGGCCAAGAGTTCAACATGATCAAACCCTTTTTCTACTTCAGTTCCATTGAACCTGTCAAACACGTCATAGTTTGCAACACGTCATAGTTTACAGCAACCTCTACTACCTCCTTGAAATCAGATTTGAA